TTGAGCATCTACTCTAGGCCAGGCACTGCTCTCGGAGCTGGAGATACAGAGGTGACAGGTCTGACCAGATTCCCACCCTCACGGGGCTTATGCTCCAGTGGAGAGTCACGTGATGTACTAGTAAGTAAAGCCAGGAAGACATAGTTCCAGATGGCAGCAAAGCACCGTGATGAGAATCAAACAGGCCAGTATGAAAGGCGGTGGGAAATGGTGAGGGTGATCACCCGGCTTCCCCAGTCGCCGTCTCAGTTGGATGCCCTCATCTTACAGGCAGGGGTCAAGGAACTGGACAAGACTCCATTTGATAATCTGCGGAATTACCTTCCTGAAGAAAAAGACTTTCCGTTTGTTCCAAGGGAAGCTAATAGAGCATTATTATTTGTTTAATGTACTTCTTTTTTTTTTTTTTTTGCCGCACGCGGGCCTCTCACTGTTGTGGCCTCTCCCCTTGCGGAGCACAGGCTCTGGACGCGCAGGCTCAGCGGCCATGGCTCACGGGCCCAGCCGCTCCACAGCACGTGGGATCCTCCCGGACCGGGTCACGAACCCATGTCCCCTGCATCGGCAGGCGGACTCTCAACCACTGCGCCACCAGGGAAGCCCTAATGTACTTTTTATATGACAAGGAATCAAAGCTATGGACAACAAATTTAGTAGAATAAGCGTTGTCTTGCTTATGCTTTCTAGACACGATGTGACTATACCACATGGTTAATTCCAGTGATTCTCTGTGACTCTTAGCAAGTAATTACCATTCCTTTCACATCTGCCCTTAAAAACGGGCCATATGCAAGTCTCTCTTATAGTATTTATCTTGCAAATCCAAAGGTAACAGACTGAAATGATGACTTAAAGCAGGGTGGGTGTTATTCTTCTCAGATCTTTTCAAAAGGTCACATCTTTGAGCTGCAAAGGTGTGACTTTTTCAGGTGCATCATAGTAACCTGGATGGGGCATGAGAGGAAAGAAGGGCTGGATCTGTTCAGGGCGTGACTGGTACCAAGCCTCCAAGCCCTCATAACAAAATGGATTCTTCTCTTGGGGTGTCAGCCTGAGATAGTCGTGTTATGAATTCAGCGGTGAGCAGCTTTATCTTGTCTATGATGGAAAAGCACACACACACTCTGCAAAAAACGTATATGCTTTCACCAAAACTTGACCAAAGATGCTTACCTGGGGGCGAGGTAGCAAGGCAGGTCTGATGCCTGTGGTGGGATAGGACCACGGCATCCAGGCCACAGGCTTTCCACCCAGGTGGGCGGCTTCTCCATCACTCTGAAGTGGTTTCCCCTGGTGCCGCTCCTCCCCGCCGCCCCACGCATACACCTCGGGATTCCTGCGGTCTTCACTCCATCACGAGAACCGCGCGGGCAGCCCTGGCCAGACCCACCCAGGGCTCACAGTTTGAAGGGATGGGGGAGCGCCCTCCAGGGGAGCACTGGCTGAGGCCTTGATGCCTGTACCTTCCCTGGGGGAGAACATGAAGCACCTGTCTCCTCTCCTTTCCTCTGCTCTGATCGCCTGATTCCCCAAATCCTGGAAACGGCAAAGGCCCAATGAAAGGGCTGAAATGAACACCTCTTATGTATTTCCGGCCAAGGTGGAGGACAACAGAGGCCTCCCTGGAGAGACCATGGCCCGCATAACCCTCACCAAGGTCAGCAAAGCAAGGCCAAAATGTCAAACTTCCTGCCTGGGGGAGCTTGTGACACTTCAAAGCTTGGAAATCCAAAGTTCTTCCAAAAGCAGAACTCCGGGATGGCCCAGGGCACAGATTTCATCACAGTAGAACACATAAGACAGGATTTCTCCACCCCACCCATGCTCTGGCAGCACCAGTTGGCACCATCAGTAGACTCCTGAGCAAAGAAGGCACAAAATGGGCAAAGCCCAGGTGTCCCTGCGGTCCCCTGCTGACCTATAATAGCCCCCCTCCCTCTGTGCCATAGGTCTGCCATCTTTGTCCTGGGTCCCTGGGTCTGAACTTGGCCAGCTACAGCAATAGAAAATGTGGACCACTCCCCTTGCGCCTTACCCCAAGAACAGCCTCCTAATCTAGAAAGAGACCGGGAAAAAGAAGGAAAAATAAACAGGCTTCCACACCTGAGAGACTTTAATTACTTTTATTTTCCAATACCGTGCGAAATTACCATGAACGATAAAAGTGTCAACTTGAGGATCCCCAGAAAATGCGCTAGCACGGCAAGCACTGTACGTACGCTGTTGCATTCGGCAGCCGTCAGATGCAGCAGGGGGAATCAGGGTCCCTTGGTAATTATGCGCATCCATTAGCACGGCATCCATTCTTTGTCAGAGGCGTTTGGTGACAGTCTCTCTCCGGAGAAGCACACAGCCTTGTGGTCTGCAGCTACGTGGCCACAGAGTAGCACGCCGAGGGAGATGCCACCGATAACACCATATTAAAGGCAGAGTTTGTTGGGTTTTTGTTGTTGTTGTTTTTAATCTCAGATGCTGGTTGCAGAGGCACAGAATGTTGATTACAGGCTTACAGGCACTGCTAACAAAAGCTGCACTGGCCAAGGAAAGTTCAGTGTTCAGGTTTCGTGGATGATGATGGCGGGGTAGGGGCAGGTAAGCTGTAGAGGGTAGGGAAGGATGGGGGAAGTGTCGTTGCCGTTCCTTTAGCAAAGGAAGACGGGGGCAGGCCATAAACATAGCTTCATTCCCAAGCCGGGATTCTTACACTTAATATGTTTTGTCAGGCAAGTCTTCAATACAGATTAAAATGAAATGCCAAGTAATTTCCACCTCTTGGCCGCTCATGTCTGCGAACAATGGAGAGTGTTTTGATGAATGTCAGTTAATGGCACTTGCACGCTTGTAGATTTAGTCCCAGCAGCAAGGACTAGGGATGGGGGAAGGGTGGGAGGCTCTGTGTGTGTGGAGAGGGCTGGGGAAGCGTTCAGTAATCCCTTCCCGACGGATTCGGTTCACGACAACCCAAATTGAAAGTAAACCCAAAACAAAATCAGGCTGCCACGTTGAGATGACCTGTTGTCGTTAATTAGGCTCAAAGCAGCCTCCACCTGGAGGAGGGTTTCTTTGCATGTAGATTGCATTGTCGAGCAGATGCAATTTCCGTGGAAGGAAAGTGAGCAGCTGCGTTGCGGCGTCTAAGGCTGCGGTTCAGCTGGGATGTTGAAACCAAGTCTCAGTGGCTGTACTTTTAGAGTCTGTCCCCTTCCTGCTGGGTTCCATCCCGGCAGAAACCAGACACTGCTAACCCACAGGCCGAGCTGTGATTTCTCATTTCCCCGTACATCCCTGCCTTTGCAACTTTGCATTGTAAGCTCCCAGTGTGGGATGTATCAGAAGAGCAGGGTAAAGACAGAAGCACCGGCAGAATTCTGTCCCCCAAGGATTTAAATCCTCACCTTCCTCATGACTGACATATACCGTGTCCTTAGTTCTCATCTGTTCTTCAGCCTGATGGGGAGGATTTAGTTTCTGCTAATTCTCTCATTGTTTGGCATAGGAGCTTTAACTGGAAGTTGCTGAGTAATTTTACGGTTGTGTAGGTAACAATTAACACTCTGTCCAGCAATCATCGTGAAGGAAGCCTCCGTGTTCAAAGTCTAGTAGATTAAATTGGTTTTCCCTTCAAGTACCAAGGACCAGGCTGTTAACTTGACTTTGGTGCTTACCTGTGTTTTGCTTGTTTTTTTGAATCACTGGCTACCAAATGGTTTTGTGTCCAAGGCAGTTTTTTTTAAGACATTGAATCAGAAGGAAACTCTTGCAGGAATGCTTAGGACACGTGCGAAAATTCTCTTCCTGTGACCAGAGTGAGAGCCCCAAGGGCAAAGAGAATAAAAGCTGAGGTGTGTTGGGCTCAACTATCCTCACTGTTAGTTAATAACATTTGTACCCTATACTTACCTAGTTTGATCCCTCCAACAGCCCTCTGAAGGGGTTACCATCCTCATTATATGATGAAGAGACTGAACTCTCATGGTTTTCCCAAGACACCGCACAGTGAAGAATCAAGCGTACGGGGTCTGTCTGACCCAAAGTCCCAGCTCTCTCACCAAAGCCTTATCTTTGAGAAATTTTCCAACTATTCGGAACTATTTCCAACAATTTTCAAATAATTTAGAATTGAAGTTACTTGCTAAAAGATGATTGGAGAAAGAAGTAGTTCTCATTACACTTATATACTGGTGTTGAATTGTTCTAAAATTTTTTTAACTTAGTGTCCTTTTGGTCAGTAATTAGTCTGAAAGCATCTAACATGGCGGCCGAGAGCCCGAGTCTGAGTCTGTTCGACAGAGGATTGCTTTGCATGTAGAAGTTCATGCACTTCCTCGTGTACATTTCAGAAGCAGCATGAGTTTTTCAACTCTTAGATAATCTGAAAGATCCATGTTGCTGCCAATTCTAGGCTTTTCAAAGCTAACATTTAAGGAGGTGCTTCTAAAGTAGGAGTAAAATTGGAATGGCTTGAGTTGGTCTCCCTTCTGCATCCTGGGAATTTGGAAAAGCAATAGAGAGTAGGCAACCTGCCAGTCTGTGAGAAGAGGCAGAGCGACACTTCCTGCCAGTGTCTGGGGGCTGGAGGACCATGGCCAGAGCACAAGTCATATCCCCCCAGACTGACCCAGAAGCCCACTCTCTCTCTCACCTCACCTCACCCCCCTCCACCATCCAGCTTTGTTGTCTTGTCATCTGGGGAGGACAGAACCAACCTCCCTGCCTTGTCATCACTGCCATTGGAAGCACATATGGATGTCGGGGAAGCACGTGGGTGAGACCCAGTCTCCACTTCCTGATCCATAAGAGGGAGCGATACCTCCCTCCCTGGGTTACTGGGAGGCTTGGACAGGAAATGTGTGGAGCCACTGGGCCACCCGGCACAGTCAGGCTTGGTGAAAAGTGGTTACGGCCACAGAAGCATTTCCAGAAGCCCCCAGCTGGTCCAGAACATCGCTACCTTCCTCAGCAGACCTGAGCTCACAGTCTGTCTTTGATAACAATTCCAGGTCTTCAGCATCTGGAGGGAGTACCAAGGTGGGAGTTTTACAGTAAATATTGAAACCCCTCCTGCGAAGATGATATGAGAGGCGGTTCCGCAAAGCAGCCCTGTCTGGCCAGAGAGCTTCTGGGCATTTCCTAAGACTCAGTCTTCTGGGACTTCTTCCTGATCAAAAGGATTCTTCAATTTCAAAATCAAAGTAAAATCTCTGGCAAAAAAACACCGAAATCGAGTTGAGCATCTCTGTCAGCAAATTCCGCTTCCCAGAGAACTGTCTCTACAGGCAGAAACACAGGTGGTAAGTGGGGGAGCAGAAAGATTTGGGGCCCAGGAATCCTGCCTCAGCCTAGACCTTCAGGAGGTGGACAGGGTAGCGTCTGGTCCCCAGAGCGCGGCCGCCAGAGCACAGACGTGGGGAGAGGCCAGAAGGGGCGTTCCTCCAAAAGAACCGCAAGATTTTGCTAATTTAGAAAACCTGTAGAACACAGGTAGGAATGGATTCTAAGGAAATTAGATCAAGGAGGATGAAATAGATTCTGGATGGAATGTGTTCGCTCAAGCAGCTGGAAGTGGCTCTAAGAGATTGCTTTGTTGGTTGGCTGAAAGTTGGCCTCCATGGTTCTACATTCAGTGAGGCTCTAGAATGTCCCTGGCATAGCATAGAAGGAAGGCATCAGAGGCTTAGCGAGGTTGGCAGGTTGGAGTGCATTTATCATACGTGCCCTGCACACCCACTTCCTCACCTTGTCCCCAAAACAGGCTCAGTAGACACCCCCTGCTCAGGCCCTGTGAAACACGTTACTGAGGGGGCACCAGCCACTCCTACTCCGAAGAGCTCTGGGGAGGCTGAACTCTGTAGGCTGGACATGCCAAGGGGATGCAGCCATTGAGATGTTTCAGTAGGGATGATGGGGTCACCGCGTGGCAGAAGACACGGACAGGGATGTTACTGAACCAGAGCTTGGGTCCACTCACGTGCACGCAGTAAATCCTACCTACTGACACGCGGTTTGCTGAAAGAAAGTGCAGCGTTTTTTGTAGGGCTCCAGACAAGGAGCCTGGGACAGTTAATGTGCAAGAAGCCCGAACTCCCCCAGTGGGTTTCAGCAGAGCCTTTTTAAAGGCCAGGCAAGGGAGGGGAGTCCCAGGATACGTAATCAGCTCATACACAAGTCTCTGATTGGTTGATGGTGAGGTGAAGTAAAAAGGCACCAAGTTGTTGCACATATTTCCTGGTTTCTGCCAGACTCCGGAGGGGATGTGTTCATTTCTTTCATTTGATGAGGGTTTCCGCATCTGCAAAACGACTCAGGAAACGTGTAGCAGATACTGTTACCTAGGTACTTCGAAAAGGAGCCACAGCAGAGGATATGGGGGCGGGGTCTGTCCCAAGAAGGCCCCATAGGGTCCTGCTCGTTTATAGGGACAAGGTGGCACCGTGACCTAATGGCCATCAAAATGTTTTCTCAATATTGCTGACCAGCTCTCCTACCAACATTATTTGTATAATGTTTCCTTACTCCATTATTTTTCTTTGCTTTTACTATAAATAGCTAAACACTGTGTAGCCTGTCTTGGCTATAAATCAACTGGATGCCTCTACTTTGACCCTTTTTTCTGTCTCTTCCTAATCTTTGATATTGGAGAAAAAACACTTCCAAAACCATAATGGGTCTATCCAACATGTCATCTCTGGCATAGTGAACTCTGAGCGCAGAGGCATTATTTAGAAGGAGTGTGCCAAGTGTACAGCACTCCCCCAGGGCTCCCTGAGCAGAGCTGGCTATAGGAACTGCCCACTGCGGTATTTGGGCCTATCTCTGTAGGGTTAGGGGCACCAACTGGTGAGCTGCCCGATGCTGTTCATGATGATGGCTGTGTGTATTTGTTAAGCCCAAGGATTCTCTCTTTTATCCCCTCTAGTGGCCAAGGAGGAGAATTGCCGTTGTCACCATTTTACGGATGAGGAAACTGTCGGCTGATCATTGGAAGTCTGTCTCACTGACATTTACCCTTCCACCCCAGGTACCCAGGAGGTCTCTGGGTGAGTTCCCCCGGGCCTCCAGCCACACTGCCCTCTATTTGATGAGTACAAGGTGGTCAGACACTCAGAACCAGCCACAAAAGGTGGGCAGCGTTTCATAGCTAAATGTGCTTGGGAGAGGATGCGGGGGAGCAGTTCGCAAATGGCAAAGCATTACTTGCACCTATTGCCTTGCTCAGATATGATAACCCAGCTTCCTGTCCTACGTGATGCAGCTGAAGCTTGGGGTAAATAAGTAAGTGGCCAGGGTCACGTGAGGGTAAGTGACGGCAATTCTTGCCTTCTGACTCCAGGGCTCCCCCTGAAGAAGCAAGTCATGATCTCATATCCTCCCCTAAGCTCACCATCATCCTATTAACAGGGGATTCAAACTGAAAAAGGCAGTAGAAGTGATATTGGGAAACGTCTGTCGGCACTCTGGGTATCACTGTGACGAGCCTTCCCTCCAAGTCCTTCTGGAGGGCAGCCCTCTGCCCCGAACTTCCCGCTGACTCAGTCTGAATAAATGCTGTGGCCCAGACGAGCCACCTCATTTTTTTTATCTCCTCTTCACTTTGCTAGTCTGAACTCATCATAAGAGTAAAGAAAATGAGAAACATTAACTATGAAATGAAAGTTGCTTCAAAGAAAAGTTAGACATTTACAAACTATGTATGGCCCCCACCAACCTGTGATTTTCATAAAGGTTGATAGGCTGCCCCCCCCAGAAAAGTTTGCTTTAGGCCCCATTGCCTCAGTTTTCCCCGTCTGCAAAATGGGCATAAACCGTGGTCCATTCCCCTTCTCCCATTTTAGTACCTGTTGAAGACGAGGGGAACGGAGGTCAGGTGTATCTTCAGCTGAAAAGACAAGCTTTGCAAAGGGTCTTCTCATTTCCCCCATTCTCTTCCGCTTCCCTTGAAAGCCACCCCCCACCCCCCACCCCCGCCTTCTCCAGAGCCTCCCTGGAAAGCCCCGCCCCGCCTTCTCCAGAGCCTCCAGGTCTACAGCTATCGCTTCTGGGAGTAAGAGGACAAAGGAATGGCATCACCTAGGTTGCAGGCTTGGTACTTTGTCTAAAGAGTATTGCATCATCATCCTGCCTGATTTTTTTTCCTTAATAATGTGGAATAGGGGTGAGGGGAGGTGGGGTGGATGAGAGCGCCTGGGCCCTAAAACGGGAAACTCTTCGTCCGTTTGCTCCCTATGCTTAAAAGACCCATGTAAGCACGTCACTAGAAGCATTGCGTCAAACGAGAGCTAAGAGGCACTTAAGGGTGCTGTGATAATGTTAGCTGTGCCCTGTCACTTTGTCTTTAAAAATACGCAAGTGCAGAAGAGAATCCGGCAGTGAGTTCCCAGGCTGGCAGGATTCCCCACCTTCATGCACACCCACATCCACCCGCAGTTGTTCAGCCCAGAGTTAAGACAGCAGGTCAATGATAAAGGTGGGTCTTCTTTGGGCCACAATAGTCCCTATGAAATTCAGCTGAGCCCTAAGGTTGCCTTTGCTGAGTCTGAAGTTAGAGTATCTATGAGGGTGACCATTTTCTGGAAATTTCTTGCAGATTGAAGGAGGCTGGACATCCTGTTTTGTATCCAGAATAAGGACGGAGAGGCTCAACAGTGCCTACAGGTCAGTAGGGTTTTTTCTGGGCCTCATGATCGGGGTTCTGAGGTGGCTGTAGCCGTGGCCGCGGGCAAGGCACATGATGTCTGACCGTGAGGTTCAAGGGTTTTGTTATTCCCGCTTTAGCAAGAAGGAAACTGAGGCACAGAGTAAAGCCAGAGCATGTGGACAGTATTACCAGACTGTTTGAATGCAGCAAGGTCAGGTGGCGGCAACAGCTGAGGGTGAGGCTGTGTCTTTACATCCATGCTGATCTCCACCCTCCCGAGGCATCCACATCCTTAGGGGGAAGGGGTCCTTGATCTCTTCCGTGTCTTGGACCCCTTCTCACCATACCGTCTTTAAATGCTTACAATACCTATGGTTTCAATACCTTTACTTTGAGCAAAGTCTCAGGAATATTTGTCTAAGTAGTCCTCATTTAATTTCGCCAATGAATAATTACACAAAGAAGTTTTTGGTTTTTTTTTTTCTCTGTGTCCCCTGCATCGGCAGGCGGACTCTCAACCACTGCGCCACCAGGAAAGCCCATAAAGAAGTTTTGTAAATAGTATTTCCAAGAAAGCTGCATGGACCCCAGCCCGCCCTTGAATTCTACCGTCTGCCTTGGTCTACACCACCTTCCTGCTCCTCTGAATGACCCCCTACCGTTCCTCCTTATCTTTTCCTGAGTATTTTCTGGTGTCGTAGCGGTAACTTGTTCTGTTCAGAAGCAGAACCTCCCTTTGCTACAAACCACGTTTCATTCAAAGGGCTCCTTAGGACATTAGTTGCTGCATTTTTTTGTTTTTTTATTGGAGTGTAGTTGATTTACAATGTTGTGTTAGTTTCAGGTATACAGCAAAGTGAATCAGTTTTATATATATATATATATATATATCTCCATTCTTTGTCAGATTCTTTTCCCATATAGGTTATTACAGAATATTGAGTAGAGTTCCCTGTGCTATACAGTAGGTTCTTGTTGATTATCTATTTTATATATAGTAGTGTGTATATGTTAATCCCAACCTCCTAATTTATCACTTCCCCCCATGTTTCCCCTTTGGTAACCACACGTTCGAAGATCTGTGAGTCTGCTTCTGTTTTGTAAAAAAGTTCATTTGTACCATTTTTTTTATTAGATTCCACCTATAGGTGATATCACAAGATATTTGTCTTTCTCTGTCTGAATTTCTTCACTTAGCATGATCATCTCTAGGTCCATCCACGTTGCTACAAATGGCATTATTTTGTTCTTTTTTATGGAGAGAGGAGAATGCAGACCCGTGGTGACAGAGGCCTTAGAACCTTGCAGGGGAACGTCCCCGGAGCTCCACGGCCGGGAAGTGAAGGAGGAAACAGGACTTTCAAAACAGAAAAAGTAGGTCTGCTGAGAACCAGAGCTGCCCAGTCAGGCCTCTGAGGCCTCAATGCCAGTTTAAGGTTTTCAAACAACAACTTCTTTTCTTCCCTGAGAAAAACTGCTTGGGCAAGCTTCCCCAGTGTGCATTTTTGTCTGACAAGAAAGCATTTTGTCCTCTGTCAATGGAAATGCCAAGAACAAAGCAAGAGGGGCGTTGCCGGGAGGCAGTCAAAGCAGCTCCCCTGACCCAGGCGCTGGAGGCCCAGGCCCCCGGGTCTCAGGTGCGCCCAGAAGGACCCTCCCTGGGGCCTGGGCAGGCGGCAGGAGAGAAAACGTCAGTGACCGCATGGACGCCTCGGCTCTGGTCAGTGGGTGAGGGGGCTTTGGGAGAAAATGGAGACAGGTCTGTCTTGTTCATTTATTAATAGGCATTTGTCACACACCAGGTTAGGAAATAATCCTCCCATTGTCAACGTGGCTTAATCCTGCTCTTGTCAATATGTCTTCCGGGGTCTTGCAGGGAAGGGAGGTGCTTTCTCAAAAGAAATCCTTTTCAGAGATAAATGCAGATGTGCCTCTCTTGATACAGTGGGCCTGTCCATGCAAGGAAGTATGTGCGTCTCCCACGTGATATTCAAGGCATCAAGGAAATGTGCTTTGTAACGGAGTCCTCGATCTCTTGAAGAAGTCACTCCTTAGGTGGTTTCTGTATAAATAGAGGCTTCCGCCTACTGGGTTTCTTTAAAACAAGGGTTTTTTCCCCCTGCATTTCGCTTGGTTCCTAAAATAGTAACAAACAGCATTATTCAGGGAAGGTCAAGAAGCTGACAACCCTTTTGGAAGCTTTTAGTGCCACAAGCCTTAGCCTCCTCTGATGAATGCCTGTGGGATTGTCACCTATCATCATCCCTCACCCCCACACACACCCTCACAAGAAACCTAGGAACTGAGATGCCCGCAGTGTTTTTAAAAATTCAACAACCCTCAAGCGTTTTCAGTTTCAGCGAAGAATTAGAAAAGCAGAGTCCAGAGAGCAGAGTCAAGAGCAGGTCTCTGTCGGTTGTATGAAATTGTCACGGTGAAATCCTTTTGAGTAAAGAAACCCGGGTGCTTTCTATTCCTCTGACGGGACACGAGTGCTGAGTGCAACCCTAGAACCACCGAAGAGGCCGGGATTAGCCAACTTTTTTCGGTCTTTTTTTTTTTTTTTCTTCTTTTTAATTAATTGATGTTAGAGTAGGGTTGCTTTACAATAGCCAACTTTGATTTGGCTAAAAAAGAACAGGAAACACACACACACTCACACACCCCTAACTAAGGCACCAAATTCACGCAGTAGAAAGGAAGAAATTATAAACTCCCTCCACGGTGCTAAACAGCATTCGCGGCAAAAGCGAATGTTCTGACAGTGAATCAACCACTGAAAAAAGCTTCCTGCAGCACATGGCACAGAGCAGCCTCCTCAGACGTCGGGTGCTTATTATTGTGTTCCCAGCCCTTATTTTCCTCCCACCCCTCCCCGCAGAAGACCGCACTCAGATACAGCAATCCATCCCAAGGAGAAGCTTCGCCACTGAGAGATGAATCATGAGCGGGGATGTGTGATTGATCCTGCCGCCCGAAAAGCAGTGGGAAGCTGAGGCTGCCTTTTATCCAGTAAGCAAAGTTCAGAGCTGTTTGCATTCTGCCGGGTAAGCAGGGGTCTCTCAAGACCTGAGCTGCATGGGCTGCACTCGGCAGGAATTCTCGCCAAGGCAGTGCACAGGTGCGCCTGGGTGGACTCACCTGAGCCACAGAGGCCAGAGGGTCAGAACTGCTCATTTTTGCAAATAGCCTGATTCCATCATGTTTTAATTAGCATGAAGTATTGCAAACCCATTCTGTTCAAGATGTTGGCAAGTGAAAACCGGATTAAGATCTATGCAGTAAGCTTAGGATATATAGGGTTTTCCTAATCACTAGAGAAATGCTAGAGGCTGGAATTTCCTAATTTTTGCAGAGAAGGAGTCGAGGGGTTTCTTTTGGCCATATCCCGCCCCCCCCAAAAAAACCTAATTACAGGATTTATAAAGAATAAAAATAAAAGGAAGGGGAAAATACTGCATTTGGCATAGCTGTACATTGGAACAAATAAATGCTAAAGGGAGTTGGTAATTCAGGAGGTCCACCGTGGACTCAGACGCTCGGCAGAAGCAACGGCATCACACCAAAGATGTATGATGTAGCCTAGTGGCCTGGAGAGCCAGCAGCCCTGTGCTCAGACCACAGCTCTGCAGCCACTTTCTAGCTGCAACTCTCGGTAAGTTCATCGTCATTTCCGAGCCTCTATTTTCATTTTCCTTTTTCTTTTTTTTCCTTAAGTCACTTAGCACTTACATTTCTCCATTTCCTTAAAGTGGGAAATCAGTAAACAGTACCGTCTCACCTCAACTGGAATTCAACGAGATAATGAATGTGGAGTATCAAGCCTGATAACAAGGACAAAGTAAGTTCTCAAGTTACTTTATTATTAGACTTTATTAGAAGATCTAGCAGGATCCAGGAGTGTGTTCAGTGGCTGGGTTGCCAAGGAAAGCATATAATACAGCTCTTCCCAGTTGGAAAATTCTGTTCACATCCGGGGCAAAAATCCTGTCCTGACACATCCAGTATCAAATAGGTTGAATTCTCCACCCTCGAGGTCATCACGAAAACGTCCGAGTGCTCACGTCAGAATGCGCGTTCAGCGCTGTCCAAATACCAGGGCAGTTTTAAACCTACACGTGCACACTGTCATTTACAAACCACTCACACGTCTTAGCAGGGCTCAGACTAAAGGCTAATGCACAGACTAATGCGAAAAGGGCTATGGGGAGCTGAGGACGTTTGGGGTAAGAAATGAACCAGGGAGAACTATGGTTTAACAACAGTGAGCGTGGCCTCATCTCCTGAGCTTGTGTTGGAAGCCAGACCCTATGCTACTTTCCACGCATGATCTCGCGTAATTCTCACGACATCTCCATGCAAGCTGAGGGGCGACGAGGAGGCAGATGGATAGGGAATGAAGAGGGAAACCTGGCACCTTGCGGGAGACTCCATAACCATAATAGCCGTTACGGGGCCATTACTGTGTTCTTAGCAGTGTGCCAAGCACCTCCCACGTGCTTATTCACTTAGTCCTCACCTGCCATGTAGAACCAAGTCCCGCCATTTCTAGTGTCAGGATCGTAAGTCTCAAAGGTTGACTACCTGGCCCAGAGTCACATAGTAACAGGCTGGGACTCAGTCCCTGGGAATCTAATCACAGATCCTGTGCTTGTCCACCTAGAACCCCTCTTCCTGCCCACCAGCGCTGCCAGGGGTAACACAGAGACCAGTGGTAGGGGGACAGGAAAGGGCTCCTCAAAGCCAGTTTCCTGTACTAGCCGGCAAAAGAGTGGAGTTTACATCTGAAGACCCTAAAAGGTCCATGTGGAATTTGACCATGTACTTCACATGTGTGCTACAGTAAGCTGTAAATGACAGAGTTTTGACGATTTTCAGTCTGTGCTCACATTAGCTTCCATTTACCCAGTGCCTGCTCTGCGTGTGCCAGCACCTTTCTGAGTGATTAGCATGTATTAAGTCCCTGAACCCTCAAAGCGATCGTATGCGGCAGGTTCTGCCCATTCTACAGATGAGGAAAGGACTTTGCCTGAGGTTGCAGAGGTAGAAGTGGTCCAGCCGGGGTTTGAACCTGGGCGAATCTGGGTACAAGGCCACAGACTAGAAGAGCGATACACCGTGGGGCCTGAGATGCTTCTCCCCTGTGGCAGGTGGATACCTGGCAAAGGTGTTTGCAGGTAAGGATGCACCTCTTCTAATAATTCATGTGAATGATTCCACTGGACGCTAAAAGTGGTGGCACCAGAAATACCCGCTGATACGGATGCCCTCCATTCAGTCATCTTCAAGGCCCAGGGAAAAGCAGTCTTGAGCGGATTTTCCTGTTTTAACCCTTCCCGTTTAGCACAGTCAGCTGACGGCTGGGTGAGGCTGCTGTAAAGAGTTTGGAGGCCCGCTGAGAGCCCCGACATCCTTGTCTGAAAGACACTGGCATTGGCAGCTGTCCAAGCACTGTGGCTGACTTTCAGACCATTTAATTGAAACCATATTTTTTAAAAGAAGGGAAGGGGTGGGTGCCAGAGCAGGAGAAAGATCTTGGCAAAAAACCTTGTGTGTGCTGTTTCCACCATCGGATTGAGCAGACAGGGCCACAAAGCTGATACAACAGGATTAGCAAAATTGCATTGTTGGCCATAGGCACGGCGTGACATGTGCTACAGCGAAGGCATTTGGCAGGATTAACCTGCCAGGGATAAAGATACAGCAGACAAGGGGCAGAATTAATGGACTGGCATGACCAAAGTGGGGAAATCTATTTACATGCAATATTAACTGTGCTAATAAACTCCGGGCTAGGCTCGGCAGGCCCGGCAGTCCTCTCTGAACCAGGATTTTTTTATTTTAAAGCCCACCTGGAGTCTTCCAGCGAAGATGGGCTAACGCAAGCGGGCTTCCCAGGTTGCCTTTAGGCTCACGTTTGCCATCGTCCTAGAAGAGTTGTGCCGTCTTACATAACCGTAGCAGCATTCTGACCATGCAGAATGATCCTAATGCCTCAGGGTTTTGGTGCCAAAGGGTCCTCCATTTAGAGGGTGACTGTCTCCGAAAAACAATGAAGAAACATTAAGTACAACACACTCTACAAAATACCTACTTGGAATGGCTGGTTTTGCCTGATTTGTGTATTCTGATTGCCTGAAAGTCAGGGCGAGACGAGGGTGAGCAAGGAGGACAGCCCAGGACATAAATTTTCAGAAGGTGCTCATGGGTCCCGCTCCTATAAGAGCAGGTTCAGCCTCTGAGTGAGTGCCTCACGCCCCTCACCCTGGTCCTGCTGAAAGTGACCGTGGGAAAAATGTAAGATACACCCATTCAAAACGCACGTGCGCTTAAATACACTCACACGGTCACTAATGCACAGCTGAGTGTTGAGGGGAGGGCAGGGCCAGGAAGAGGCTGGGCAGGTGAGAGGGAAGGGAACCAATAAAGATGGAGTTATCCTCCGGGTTACTGCTGTGGGCCGGTGGGGACCTCTGCCAGCCTATGTGGGGCAGGAGAGCAGGTATTTTTCCACCAGCTCCCATGCATCACTGATGAGGGATGTTGACTCCTTTTTTTTTTTTTTTTGCGGCACGCGGGCCTCTCACTGTTGTGGCCTCTCCCGTTGCGGAGCACAGGCTCCGGACGCGCAGGCTCAGCGGCCATGGCTCATGGGCCCAGCCGCTCCGCCGCATGTGGGATCCTCCCGGACCGGGGCACGAACCCGTGTCCCCTGCGTCGGCAGGCGGACTCTCAACCACTGCGCCACCAGGGAAGCCCTGTTAACTCCTTTTTAACCCAGCAGGTTGACCACACGCCTGCTCCTTTTCCTGACCCAAGGAAGCCCCCCCGGCCGAGGGTACCTACCGTCTGAACAGTGGTGCTGGATACCACCAGCACTTGCCACGTGAGTGAGATCTCATAGTCCTCTGAAGATGCTGAAGCCCCATCAGACTCCCACTGTGTTAAGGCTCATAAGAAGTGTCCGTTTTTAACAGGGCCCTAGATTTAGAGCAGCAGTCCCCAAATCTGGTTTATCAGAATCCCTGGGGTGGGGGGAGGGTGTAGATTCCTGGGCTTTGCTTTCAAACCTACTGCAGCAGAATCTTAGCGTGGTGGGGATGGAGCCCTGAATCCCACCTTCCCATCCTGAGCCAGCTAGCCAGGCTGGGGGGATGTCAGCCGCTTCAGGGAGTCTGCAGCGACCCGTGGTCAGCGTGGGAGGTGGTTGATGAGGAAACCCGCCCTGTTTCTATGGCTGTCAACTTTTCCCCGAAGTAACAGGCAGGAAAATAGTTTGTTGATTCGAGACCGCTGATGTTACAAAGCTTAGATAATTGTCACGCCCTTCCGATCGCCTTCACCAAGTGATCGTTATGTGACATTTAAAAAAATGAATTAGTAGGATTAGCTGGCTTGACCTTACCAGGCAAATAAGAAGAAGGACTAACATAAACAGGCCAAAGTGTGAAATAAAGAGATAAAAGGTTTTGGTTAAAATGGGTGCAGAGTTATTTGGAACACCAGAAATCTTAACATTCTCTTCAAATGCCCCTGGGGTAGCTGAGGTGCTTAATGAGGCAACAGCAGGTAAAAGGGCCCTGAGGTGGGAGGAAACCAGGTAGTTCCAGCAGGGCCACTCTGTGTGGCTCAGTGATGCAAGAGCCCCCTGTCTGGGGGCTGGGGTCCAGCCCAAGGCCACCCACCAGGTCACATGCCCTGTTCTAGGACTGCATCTGCCCAGGAAAAGGGGGACCTCTTGAGCTCACAAAAGGCTCCATCCACAGGAAACGTCTGACTTTTTACATTGTAGAAGGTGCCATATGGCCTAGCTCTGTGTTTCGAGATCTGAAAGAAAAGCAGCGCGGCTGAGTGCACGAAAAGGGGGAGGTGTCGGTAGACAGGTAGGCAGGGCTGGACGACCGGGACGTGTGTGCTTTCGCGGGGATCTTATTCTGGGTGGGATGGGAACCGGGGATGAAGCAGGAGAATGACATGCTTTGAGTCATATTTTAGAAGGATCACTCAGGCTGCAGCGTGAAGAGTGAATCAGAGGGACAAGTTAGACACTTAGAGCATCGTCCAGGTGAGAGGCAGGGCGGGGCAGGGGCGGGAGCGCTGGGCTGGTGGTGTAGGGTGGCCATGGAGATGGAGAAATGTACTCCAGTGGCAAAATACTGACCATTCTGATGACTCATAGGGGACATTAAGGACAAAAATTTGTTTTGTGTCTACACCTCCCCCAACTTTGCAGGACTTCCTCCACTGATTGAGAGCACAGCCAAGCTGCAGGTCCTGCTGTTACAGCTACTGTGCAGTACTGGGCTGCCAGGGGACTCCACGACGGCCTCTGTCCTTGCGATCACTGTCTCCTATGACAGACTGACGAGTGGAACAGTAATGGAAGGACACAAAAGGTAGAAGAATCCTAGATACCAGGCCCAGAGCTCAGGCTGAGCAGGGAGCCGGGGGGCCTTCTTGGTGGCTGACTCTGGAGCCCTCCTGCATGAGCAGGAGTGTGTTGGGTAGAAAGGGGCAGGGGTATTCAGATCCACAGAAGCAGGCAGACGTGGGGTCCTGGGGGGAGGTCTGCTCCCTAAGAGGGGAGGAGCAGGCAGGGAAGTGAGGAACCATACGATCTGGAACTCGTGGCCATGACGAGGAACCTTAGGTTAAGCCAGATCAGACTGACCCTCTGGAAGAATCCGTCTGGTGCATCAGGGTACCGCTAGCCTAGAGGCAGGGAGATGAGTTAGGAGACCTGGCAGTCAGCTACTGACGTAAAATTATTCGTTACAAAACAGCACGTGTATGTCCTTAGGATACTTGGTGCCATTTTTATTTTTCCTTTTCCAAACACATAGATAAGAGTAGTGGGACCGCACAAGCCTTAGGTTAAATCATGCGTTCATTCGACCAGTATTTGTCAAGCACCCCCCAGTGCTGTGGCCAATGCTGGGGAGGTTAGAGTTTAGGGGAGACAGCTCTATGCACACTGTACGGTAAGTGCCTTAAGGAAGGAGACCAGATGCCTGGAGAGCACATTACAGAGGAGTCAGGTCTGGTCTGGGGGATGGGTGTCCAGGAAGTCATTTTGGAGTTGAAATCTGAAGGAGGAGTTGGTATTAAACTATGCGAAACGGGGAGTGAGGTATTCCAGGCAGAGGAAGCAGCTTGTGCAAAGGCCCTGTGGTGGAAAGAACTATGGCATATTTGAGAAGTTAGAAAAGCAGATAAAGAAAAGCCAATGGAGTGCAGATATATGGGGAGATGAAATGTTGAAGCTGCCTGCACTGTGCTTCTAACCCGTGGCTGCTGTCTGTCCCCGCTCCAGAGGCAGCACGGAGGAAGGGACCCCACGACCCTCGATCGGCCTCCCCAGCACGGTGCGGTGGGGCAGCTGGTGTTGTGAATCAGGCCGTCGCCAATCAGAGAACGGCTACTTCACAACACCAGGGTCACACCCCACCACAGGCAGCGCTCTGGGCACCGGCCCCCATCACATCCGCACCTCGGCCATCGGTCATCGATGGGGCACCACCAAGCCCCCCAGAACCACAGCAGGTGACTTTGTGCATATGCTGTGTGAACACCACCGCAAACACAGCAGCCCTGAGGCTATTTCTGCCCCAACACAGACAGCTCCACTTTTAAAGGAAAGAGCTCCTCCTGGCAGCATCTATCTCCTAGGTGGTCCCGGGTTCCTTTGAGGGGGAGAGTTCCACTGCCCGCCATCAGCACGTGTCCCCACGCTGGATGAGAGCCACGCACGGGAGGACCCTTCCTAGGGCATCAGTGTGTCACACACTCACATCCTAGGTAATGTGATCTGTCACCTGTGCTGACAGGCGCGCTTCCTTTCCCTGGGACCCCACAGCCAGGGACCTGGCAGGGTTGAAAAACTGATGGGGGTCTCCAGAGTTGGAGTGTTTTCATGTTTAAGTACCTAAGGTAAATCTTAAATGTGAAACTGCTGTGTTTTAAAGCCAAGGGAGGAGTTTAAAGACAGGGCGGCTGGTTGGCTGGAATCCTTTCTCGAAGCACTAAGAAAAAAGAGGATGCCCATCTCTCTGGCTTTTCTGTGGCACAGAGAAAGAGAGCCAGGGCCACTGCGATGAACCCAGGCTCTGTCTGTGTAACCTCGGTGCTGGGCTTCCGTCCGCGAGGAAGCCAGAGGGATGGACAAAAACAAGCCCAGTGCAAATACTACACAGAATGAGGTTACATCGAGCTTGGGTTAATCAGAGCGGCCCTGGATCTCTGTCCGCTTGAAGCTCTGGGAGGTGAGTCTGCTGCTTCTGCGAAGTTCTGCCCCTCACCCCAAACTACTAAGGCATCTCTGAAATGTTACGTAAGTTACGCTTGCGGACAAGTATCTTTGAAGGGTAAGTTATGCTTGCGGACAAGTATCTTTAAAGGAGTTCCAGTTTTTCAGAACAGTCTTCCCACCTTCTCCTTAAAGCATATAAACGGTATATCTCTGAGCATCCATCCACTAACTGGTTCCCCTACCACCACCGGAGTCCAAGTGGGTACCGTTCACAGTGTGGTCCATGGTGGCGGCAGCAGCACGCTGGAAAGGCAGCATCCCAGGCCCCACTGCACGCCTGGGTTCGGGGACTGGGTGTTAACACGTCCTCAAGGGGATTCTTCAGAGTCGTGACCACTCCCTTTTTGGTCTCCCCACATCCTCTCCAGGTTCCATTCCAACCCTATCTCTTCCGCATGTTCCAGCCAGAATGGTCTTTTCCAAACGCACACACACCTACATCGTGTGAATTCCTCCACCCTCTGCCTTAAAACTGCTGGAAGAGTTGTCCTCACCCTAACACTGGCACCCCGAGTAGCATGCACCCCCAGCCACCTCTCAGTCCACGCCCTTCCTCCCTCTGGCACACCTGCCCCAGGGCCTTTGTGCAGCTCAGCCCTGTCCGGAATGCTCCCACCCCCGAGCATCCTCCCGCGATTGGTGCCTACCTATCCTCCAGATCTCAGCCAGCACCGACTCGCCAACCCGGAAAGCCAGACCAGGTAAGGAAGCTGATGTTCAGAGCAAGCTGAATTCTGCCCCTTCAGAGCACACGTCCCATTTTGTCATTATGCCTTCACTGGTGGGAATCTTTGCTGAATCTGCGTCTTCCCCACTGGCTGGATGCTCCCTGAGGGCAGGGACCCTTCGGCTCCATTCACTGTTGCACCCCTAGCCGAGCTCAGTGTCTGGCATTGAGGAGTGGCTCGATAATATATTTGTTCACAGCCTGAGCTCTGAGTGTCCTTCAAAGTCAAATGCTCTCTCTGGCCCACTGGAGCGCTGCGTCTTTGTTTCCTTCCGGTGGCATCTTAATAACAGCAGCAGGCACTTAACGGCGTAGAAACGGGGGCATGCACCGCTCTGAGCCCTTTGCATAGCCATGTACCCAGTCAGTTTCCTCCTAGTGGCAGGTCGTGCAACCACCCGTCGTGTAAGTAGCGGGACCACACCATCCATACTGTTGGTAATTGGCGTAACCCTACCCCAGGCTGTCTGGCTGCATGCTGCTGAGAGGAGCCACTATGGAAAACAGTAGGTAGGTGCCTCAAAAAGCTAAAAATAGA